TCTGTTTGCATCATCTATAGAAAAGCATCAATCATATTATTTTATCAATTATGCTCGAATGATCGAAATCAGAAATCAAAAATAGAATTATGGATGAAATCTATTATAGGCGATAACTACCCTAAATCAATTTATTAAATTTATGGTGTCACCTATACTAGATTTCATTTAAAATTATAACTACCATTATATGCAAAGCAAACAATTCTGCATCACGATATGTTTGCCTATGCTCTAAATAAGAAACAGAATACTTTATATAATGTAATAAATCGGGCGCCTTTACAGAGTGTTTTAAGAATCTATGGAACCGATGACAAAGGATTTGCAAAATCGTATTTTCCCACCGTAAAGTAGTTTCAGTAAGCTGAGCTCCTCCTTCAGCACGTACTTTAGAATCCTTATCAAAACGTTTCAGCTTATCAAGAATCTCCCTAACTAATGTTTCTAAACTAAAAATCATATCCAGATTGTGAGAAACGAATAAAATATGGCGATCTCAACCATATACCATTGTTACTTACGACCAAGGTGCACTATAGACCGTTTTATAGAGTACATCTAAAACATAAGGCGAAACACATGTGATTTTATGTTCAGTCACATCTATTGGAAATTTTGGGTCAACAGTTCCATCAAGCATCATCTTATATATATAAACTCTACAAGCCTATTATTAAAGAATATAAATTATTAATAATTACAAATGAGCTAATCGTAAAAAATGTTGATTGTATACCTAAGCTTGCTAGTGACATTAATTAGACCAAGTAGTTTATATTCTATAATGCCGCCCTTCAGAAATTTAGCATCTGGAAATCCGAGTTTTCCCGTTTCAAGTCTACCAGGAACTAAACAGGCGTATAAGGTATCGCCTACAGCACTTTTACTCATTTGACTGGCAATGGAAATCTTTATCATTTCCTGGATGGTTAAATTTCTAAATAGGTCATGATTCATCACATTTGCTAAAACAAAAGATAATGATTAAATTTTCATGAACAATATATTCAATGCATTATTCAAATGATCTATAGATAAACCTTTATAATTATCAAAATCTTTTTTAATGCTATGTGGCATGTAAGATAATGCAGCTACAAGTTGAGGATACTTGTATTTGAAATTAGGTACATCACGTATAACAACTTGTTGGGAAGTCACCTAAAATAATTAAACAT